ATAGTCTTCACATGGGATGGGTAAAAAGGATGGTCTTCATATGGGATGGGTAAACTGGATGGTCTTCACATGATGTGGGTAAACTGGATGGTCTTCACATGGGATGGGTAAACTGGATGGTCTTCACATGGGATGGGTAAATAGGGTGGTCTTCACATGGGATGGGTAAATAAGATGGTCTTCACATGGGTTTGATAAATAGGATGGTGTTCACATGGGATGGGTAAATAGGATGGTCTTCACATGGGATGGGTAAATAAGATGGTTTTCACATGGGATGGGTAAAAAGGGTGGTCTTCACATGGGATGGGTAAACTGGATGGTCTACACATGGGATGGGTAAATAGGATGGTGTTCACATGAGCTGGGTAAATAGGATGGTCTTCACATGGGCTGGATTATAGGATGTCTTCACATGGGATGGATAAATAGGATGGTCTTCACATGGGATAGGTAAATAGGATGGTGTTCACATGGGCTGGGTAAATAGGATGGTCTTCACATGGGCTGGATTATAGGATGTCTTTACATGGGATGGATAAATAGGATGGTCTTCACATGGGATAGGTAAATGAGATGGTGTTCACATGGGATGGGTAAACTGGATGGTCTTCACATGGGATGGGTAAATAGGATGGTCTTCACATGGGATGGGTAACCTGGATGGTCTTCACATGGGATGGGTAAATAGGATGGTGTTCACATGGGATGGGTAAATAAGATTTTCTTCACTTGGGGTGGATAAATAGGATGGTCTTCACATGGAATGGGTAAATAGCATGGTGTTCACATGAGATGGGTAAATAGGATTGTGTTCGCATGGGCTGGGTAAATAGGATTGTGTTCACATGGGCTGGGTAAATAGGATGGTCTTCACATGGGCTGGGTAAATAGGATGGTCTTCACATGGGGTGGGTAAATAGGATGGTCTTCACATGGGCTGGATTATAGGATGTCTTCACATGGGATGGATAAATAGGATGGTCTTCACATAGGATGGGTAAACTGGATGGTCTTCACTTGGGATAGGTAAATGAGAGTTGGTCTTCACATGGGATGGGTAAATAGGATGGTCTTCACATGGGATGAGTAAATAAGATGGTCTTCACATGGGATGAGTAAAAAGGATGGTGTTCACATGATATGGGTAAAAGGGATGGTCTTCACATGGGATGGGTAAACTGGATGGTTTTCACATGGGATGGGTAAATGAGATGGTTTTCACATAGGATGGGTAAATAGGATGGTCTTCACTTAGGATGGGTAAATGAGATGGTCTTCACATGGGATGGATAAATAGGATGGTCTTCACATGGGATGGGTAAACTTGATGGTCTTCACATGGGATGGGTAAATAGGATGGTGTTCACATGGGATGGGTTAATAGGATGGTGTTCACATGGGATGGGTAAATGAGATGGTCTTGACATGGGATGGGTAAATAGGCTGATCTTCACATGGGATGGGTAAATAGGATGGTGTTCACATGGGATGGGTAAATAGGATGGTCTTCACATGGGATGGATTATAGGATGTCTTCACATGGGCTGGGTAAATAGGATGGTCTTCACATGGGATGGATTATAGGATGTCTTCACATGGGATGGGTGGATGGAACGGTTGGCACATGGGATGGCTAAGTTTAGACAGGAGGGTTGTCCAAGAGTTGGTGTGAAGAATACACAATGCCATTTAGAAAATGGTCAAATGTAGCATATGTTCTTTTTGGGATTACACTTTCTTAGTAAAGTGCAGATTCTTGTGGGATGCTATGATGATGACAGTGGGGACCCAGACCCTGCATTGCTGCGTGTGCAGCTACAGTATCGGCTATTGATCATCCCTGGTGTCCTCCAAGCTGTGACTCGCCCAAGTGTCACACGCTGCAAGTAAATCTCCGACTCCATAAATCATACACAGAAAACCAGTCTTTACATCACACAGATTGCTGGAAGTTTGAAAAATAGACAAATCATTACAGAAAGGGTTCTCCATGTTTCCACAACTCCTCAGTCTTCATCCAAGAGGATGTTTAATCGGTGAAGATATATCAGAATTATTTATGGTCCTCCTTGAACACTTTCCTTTTTCACACTGTCAGCCATCATTGGATTTGAAACTCTCACCAACAACCTTGGCAGTTATAATCAGTGAAGGGGGAAAAAGTGTAATTGAATTGAGTTTCAGGGAAAAAGACATCGACACATTCATTTTACCATAAGGAAAGTTGTAATTTGTTCTCTGCAGGTAAATGATGTCTTTTCTAATTAATTCTTTCTGCAAAAATATGTAACTCTGTCATGTTTGCTGTAGATGTTTTTAATGAAAAAAGGTATTTAAGTGTCTACTCTTCTAGTAGCTTTGACGTTTTGATTAGCTTTCTGTCACTGACTGGTCTGATATGTAATTAATAGTTTATTTTCCAGTGTGAAATTCCCTTTAGAAAGATGATAAGGTTATAGATACATTGAAACTTTAACTTGAGTGATTGTGATATTAAGGGACCAGTGCATTGACGGCTTTGCTTGTATTTAAATCTTACATGAAATAATCTTTGAGTGTGACATGACACCTTCAGTTCATGCATTATTCAATTGTCAAGCCAAAACAATGGAGTTCCGTACAGCCCAGCTGACAATCTCAGCCCAGCAGAATATCTGGCTTCGCTGATGTTTATGTTGGAGGCATATCAAAGAAAAACTTGTGTATTTTTCTTTCGGCAAAGTTTTCAAAATACTAATTGCCAGCTTCATTCAAATGTGAAAAACCTTTTTGATTGTGTATTTATCCTCCATGTGCTGCCATTGAAGCCTTTAGAGCCAGGAACGTGCTCACTTTGATGTGTAAAGCTATATCATCATGCAATTCTTTGTCACAGTTGCAAAAACAATGTGTCAAATTGACTGAAGCATACATTTGGCCAATATATTTTAATTCAGAATAAGGGTGTTTGTTCACAAACAAGAGAAAGGTTTGGTCATGTGATAAGCCTGCAAGTGACTGGAGCAGAAACTTCTCTCATGGAATAAGACAGAGTGTATCGGCAATTGTTTGCAAGCAGTGTTTCAGAATATTGTGGCCCTTTAAACCTCATGGCAATATGGTAACTGTATCATGGCTGTTGGTGCATGGTTAAGTCTGGACTAGTCAAACCAGCATTTGATGATCATGAGCAGCGATCCCTTCTGTTGGGTTATGATAAGTAGCCAACTTACACAGCAATAACAACAGACCTACCAAAGAAAACTTTCCCACCGTGCACTAAAGCCCAGAAAAGCCCATCGTGGAAATAGCAACATAAACATAATACCTCGCTACTGAAACAGTAAAAACGGCAACTTCAAATCGCTAAAACTGGATAAAAAATGAAGAGCCTGCAACTTCGATTTTGCGGATGCGCACATGGGAGAGGAAGTCTCGTCCGCATGTTGACATTTTCCAGCTTGGACAAAAGTTACATTCCTTTATAAAAATATTTCTGTTGTGTTATTTGGCATTTATCATCATGATACTTGTGTTCACACTTGTTTAGTTTACTTTCCATTCGTATGGAATGATCGACAGCAATCATTTTGAAATACTCAATGCTATTTCTACTCGAGGCGATTTAAGGCTGCTCGGAAATTTGAAAGAAGTGCGGATCATAATGGACATGCGCAGTAGAGGTCAAAGTTCGCTGATACAAACTTGTTGCAGTTTCATAGTCTTTCGTTGCCGTTTTTTACTGTTTCAGTAGTGAGGTAATATGTTTATGTTGCTACTTCCACGATTAATGTGGGCTTTTCTGCGTTTTTCTGCACAGTAGGGAAGTTTTCTTTGGTAGGCCTGAACAAGTAGCCATGGATTCCATGTAAAGAGATAGTTCCCTGGCAACCTGTGCTTATTGTGGATCAGATGATCAGACTCGGTGACACTGGATCCAGTACCATGGATTGATGCTCTGATGGAGAATTATCCTGGGGCTCCATCTTGTAGCTAGAACGTTACTAAATAACAGCAGCAAAACAGTTCTTCTGGTTGGCGGTGCTGGTTTAAGGGGGATCAGGTAGTCAGACAGTGGGACAGTTGAATGCTTCTCATGCTGGCTCAGGCTGTCTCTGATCTGGTCCCTGGTTTGTCTGGCCCAGACTCGACCATGTTCAGGCTGTCAGTCACTGGTGCATCTGGTTCAGACCGACTATGTGCAGGCTGTCATTATAAGGCTGGAGCATTGCTAACTGCAGTGACAACCAATATCAACACATTCACTATAAAGGATGTAAAGAAATCATCAAATATTAATCAGTTTATATTTCCATACTGAACAGAGGAACAAATGTGACACAATAACTGGACTCTTTCCTTTGTTAAATGGTCAATGTCATGATCCTGAAGGACTGATAACCTCTCCCACTGATGAAGTTGAGAAGGTCTAGTGTTAAGGAGATCATGGTCTGATGAGAGTCAAGGAAAATTTAGAATGTTTTGTGATCATGGCTCTGGTTATTGTGATTAAATAATGTAATTATGCAACCCACTCGGCAACGCTTTGTGCTGACATGACATGTATCTTTGTGATTCGTCACCTGGGATGGTGAGGAGAAGGAGGCATATGACATATCAGTTATAATTGGAGATGATTATCAACTCAATGTTAGTTTGTTTCCTCATATATTCTCAACTTCTTGAAGGCAGGAACAGCTTGAATGAAATGTATTATTTTGGTCTCACAAGATGGTGAATGTGGATCATTAATTTGATGTCCTTGCCATCTCACTCACGCACTCAGAACCTTGCAAGGAGGGCATGGGAGAGGGACCAAGTAGTCCCAGACTGGGCATCCCACAGATTGATCGATCACTCACTCCCTCACTCCCTCACTCCCTCACTCACTCACTCACTCACTCACTCACTCAGCATGAGTTGATGGAGATGTGTTTGATCCTACGTAGTGTTTTACATTCTAGTTAGTTGTGATATTGTATAATAAGTTGTAAGGTTTTCTGTTTGTTTCTTTCCAGTCTGGAAAGCTGCATTTCGGTTACATCTACGGCATCGGCGTGGTGGGCTGCGTGGCCATGTATGCTCTGCTGAACCTGATGAGCTTGATGGGGGTGACTATCGGCTGCATCATCAGCGTCCTCGGTTACTGCCTCCTCCCCATGGTCATCCTCTCCTTCACCTCCATCGTCATCTCTCTGCAGTAAGTCAGCATCAGTATGCACCCACTCACCCACATGTACACTCATGCACACAGCAGTGCAGTAAGTTAGCATCAGTCTACACACACAGACGCATCAATACACACACATGCACACACGCATACAAGCACACTCTCTCACACATATTGTGTCATCTCCCTGCAGTAACTGAAAGACTGATATTGGCTGTAGTGGAGGCTGGAATCTACAGACATTCATCTACCTTGGTTAAGGTTACAAACAAAGATATATCTGAGATGTACAGGTATCTGCAACATCTCCCTATAGATCTACCTGGGTTGAAGTTACAGGCAAGGATATATCTGAGATGTACAGGTATCTGCAACATCTCCCTATAGATCTACCTGGGTTGAAGTTACAGACAAGGATATATCTGAGATGTACAGGTATCTGCAACATCTCCCTATAGATCTACCTGGGTTGAAGTTACAGACAAGGATATATCTGAGATGTACAGGTATCTGCAACATCTCCCTATAGATCTACCTGGGTTGAAGTTACAGACAAGGATATATCTGAGATGTACAGGTATCTGCAACATCTCCCTATAGATCTACCTGGGTTGAAGTTACAGACAAGGATATATCTGAGATGTACAGGTATCTGCAACATCTCCCTATAGATCTACCTGGGTTGAAGTTACAGACAAGGATATATCTGAGATGTACAGGTATCTGCTGTCCATGATGTCAGAGGTCCTGCCATCATCTCCCTATAGATCTACCTGGGTTGAGGTTACAAACAAGGATATATCTGAGATGTACAGGTATCTGCTGTCCATTATGTCAGAGGTCCTGTCAACATCTCCCCATAGATCTACCTGGGTTGAGGTTACAGACAAGGATATATCTGGCAGAATGCCCCACTGAGCCAACATTTATGTAAACATGATTATAGGAAATAAAGAATTATAACACAGAACAGAAAAAACTCTCATTAACATTCAAAGTTATTTTCTTTAATCTCCAGCTGTCTTGAAGTCTGTATCACAGACAATGCCAGCAGTATGCTGTGTTGAAGCTAGCTCGGCCCTCATCACATGTGATGAGAGAGAATCAGTCTGTATCACAGACAATGCTGGCAGAATGCTGTGTTGAAGCTAGCTCAGCCCTCATCACATGTGATGAGAGAGAATCAGTCTGTATCACAGACAATGCTGGCAGAATGCTGTGTTGAGGCTAGCTCTCAGCACATGTGATGAGAGAATCTGATCACATGTGATGAGAGAAATCAGTCTGTATCGCAGACAATGCTGGGAATGCTGTGTTGAAGCTCTCAGCTCTGATCATGTGATGAGAGAGAATCAGTCTGTATCGCAGACAATGCTGGCAGAATGCTGTGTTGAAGCTAGCTCAGCCCTGATCATGTGATGATGAGAGAGAATCAGTCTGTATCACATGCAGACAATGCTGGCAGAATGCTGTGTTGAAGCTAGCTCAGCCCTGATCACATGTGATGAGAGAGAATCAGTCTGTATCGCAGACAATGCTGGCAGTATGCCGTGTTGAAGCTAGCTCAGCCCTGATCACATGTGATGAGAGAGAATCAGTCTGTATCACAGACAATGCTGGCAGAATGCTGTGTTGAGGCTAGCTCAGCCCTCATCACATGTGATGAGAGAGAATCAGTCTGTATCACAGACAATGCTGGCAGAATGCTGTGTTGAAGCTAGCTCAGCTCTGATCACATGTGATGAGAGAGAATCAGTCTGTATCACAGACAATGCTGGCAGAATGCTGTGTTGAAGCTAGCTCAGCTCTGATCACATGTGATGAGAGAGAATCAGTCTGTATCACAGACAATGCTGGCAGAATGCTGTGTTGAAGCTAGCTCAGCTCTGATCACATGTGATGAGAGAGAATCAGTCTGTATCACAGACAATACTGGACTGATTCTCTCTGATCACATGTGATCAGGGCCGAGCTAGCTTCAACACGGCATTCTGCCAGCACTGTCTGTGATACAGACTTCAAGACAGCTGGAGATTAAAGAAAATAACTTTGAATGTTAATGAGAGTTTTTTCTGTTCTGTGTTATAATCCTTTATTTCCTAAAATCCTATAATCATGTTTACATAAATGTTGGCTCAGTGGGGGTGATGATGAGAGTCGGATCACTGAGATGTTGCAATACCTTGTCCATGATGGACTGATGGAGAACAGACTCAACTACACAGGTTTCAAATTGTTTTAAAATGATGTTATATTAAATGTCTTTAGAAATACTCTGAAAATATAAGTTTTAACAGTATATCTTTAAAAAACCCAACTCATTATCTTTTTTGTAAACTAGGTGAATAATGCTAAATACAGAAACTGGTAGAGGGCTTGAGAATTGTCTTTGAGAAGAATCTAATTCTATTTCTAACTAAGTATTTAGGTCTTTTAAGTTTCACTTAAACATTTTGACATTTTCCACTGATCAAACTACTCAATTATTTCACCCCTGCCAACAAACTTTATATTTAGGTTTATTTCTGATGAATGTCTAATGTTTTGTCCACGTCATGTCCAAGTTTAAATGGCTCACTGACTTTCAATTGGTTGACACATGTCATCGTATCCCAATTTGCGTAGATCGAAGCCTTGATTATTTACAGACTGTTGCCATATTGGCTGGAAAATTGTTGAGTGCAGCATAAAACTAAATTCAATCACTCACCCAAATTTTAATAAAATCAATTATTCTAACATGGGAGATCAAGCTTTGGAATGAAAGAAATATTCAGGTACAACAACAATTCTTGTACTGCAAAACAGAGGGAGACGACCACACCCTTTATTTATGTAGTAAAACAAAGTAATATTAATAAATCATTCAACAAAATCGTTTTTGTGGCCTTCTTGTGTTTGTTAGCAGACTGTTTGTCATTGGATGGAGTAACTAACTAGATGTAATACTATTCCCCTAAGACTGCTGCTGGATTAACCAACTGGCTGTGTGCAATACTATCCCCATAACACTGCTGCTGTTGCCTCCAGGACAGTTGATGATCCTCCTTGTACAAATTGAAACCAAGCAGTTCATCATGGCTACCAGATGTTCTGTTACAGCCAGAAGGAAGAAATATTTTAAAAGCAATTTGTTTTTTATCCTGGAGAGTGAAATGGTTGATGTACCATCTGAGCAGCAGCTGCAGCCATATCCCCCACAGGTCTCCTCTAAAGCACTTCCATCTCGACAATGTCATTCTTTTTTCATGGAATGTTGTATATCTCCTGGCAGGCAATAACTAATTTATCACCTCACAGGTTCATATGGGAAATATATACCTGCACTTCCTCTTCTAATCTCACTCACATTGGACCAAACCGATCTTTGGTTTACAGTTTCCCAGAAGCTTCTTGAGAAATATTGCCATATTTTGTTTCCATAATTAAAACCATTTATGACATTTGAGTAATGACTGAAATGGATTGTGATTGGAAGCAATGCCTTTGGCTATAAGTTTACTGTGTTAGTTTATCATGAAGGATTGGTGTGTACGTCTCATTTCTCCAGAGTGAGATTCAGTATGTTATCTCTCAGAAATAATGTCTTGTGTTGCAGAGGTTTAGTGCTCTATGGTAACACAAGGTTCTCCTCTCTACTCTATTGCAATGATATCTTACAGAGGTTTAGTGCTCTATGGTAACACAATGTTCTCCTATATAGTCTATTGCAATGATATCTTACAGAGGTTTAGTGCTCTATGGTAACACAATGTTCTCCTATACTCTATTGCAATGATATCTTACAGAGGTTTAGTGCTCTATTGTAACACAAGGTTCTCCTATACTCCATTGCAATGATATCTCAGAGGTTTAGTGCTATTGCAATGATATCTTACAGAGGTTTAGTGCTCTATGGTAACACAAGGTTCTCCTTCTCTTATATACTCTATTGCAATGATATCTTACAGAGGTTTAGTGCTCTATGGTAACACAATGTTCTCCTATATACTCTATTGCAATGATATCTTACAGAGGTTTAGTGCTCTATGGTAACACAAGGTTCTCCTATATACTCTATTGCAATGATATCTTACAGAGGTTTAGTGCTCTATGGTAACACAATATAGTCTATTGCAATGTTCTCCTATGGTAACACAAGGTTCTCTTATATACTCTATTGCAATGATATCTTACAGAGGTTTAGTGCTCTATGGTAACACAGTGTTCTCCTATATAGTCTATTGCAATGATATCTTACAGAGGTTTAGTGCTCTATGGTAACACAATGTTCTCCTATATGGTATACTCTATTGCAATGATATCTTACAGAGGTTTAGTGCTCTATATAGTCTATTGCAATAATGTCTAGAGGTTTCTCTAGTGCTCTATGGTAACACAAGGTTCTCCTATATACTCTATTGCAATGATGTCTTACAGAGGTTTAGTGCTCTATGGTAACACAAGGTTCTCCTATATACTCTATTGCAATGATGTCTTACAGAGGTTTAGTGCTCTATGGTAACACAGTGTTCTCTTATATAGTCTATTGCAATGATATCTTACAGAGGTTTAGTGCTCTATGGTAACACAAGGTTCTCTTATATAGTCTATTGCAATGATATCTTACAGAGGTTTAGTGCTCTATGGTAACACAATGTTCTCATACTCTATTGCAATGATATGTTGCAGAGGTTTACTGTTTCATGTTAACAGTTAACACAATGCTGTGCGATATTCTTTAACACAATATTGTGGTATGTTACAGAGGCATCCTGGGTACAATTCTGACTGTCGTGACTGTGATATGGTGCTGTCTGTCTGCATCAAAGCTGTTTGTGTCGGCGTTGGCGATGGACCAGCAGCAGCTCCTGGTGGCCTACCCCTGCGCCCTGGTCTATGGGGTCTTCGCCCTGCTCACCGTCTTCTGAACACAGTCGACACAACCAATATCACAACAGGGAAATCCGTTTTCTTTGGACACTGAACATGACGATCACACGTCTGCAACAATTTAATTTAACTTGTCATGGAACTTTTTTATTTATGAGAATTAATTGACTTTATTTAGACAAGTAATTGCCCCAAATTTGTACATTAAATGGCTTGTCAGTGTTCTGGTAAACATAATCTATGCAAAACATTGTAAACTCACTACAGCAGTGTCGACATGGGATGTTTATCTGCTGATTAGTGTTACTTTTCTTAGCGAAGACGCAAACCATGGTAGCAACTGGGCCTCTTAATTTGTGTTATAGATGACTCGTCAGGGTTCGCTCAGCATCACACAGAGTGTGTCCAACCTGTAGTCAGCAATGCATCAACAACGCTCGCGCAGGGATTGTCTAAATGTGTCTGAATCATGTCTTGATATTTTAATAAATATATTCATCCTTTTGAATGTTCATGCTTTTACTTCCTGGAACTGTATATGAATAAATACTGTGTATGGAATGAGTTGTGTTACAAGTAGTATCTTCTTGTACTGCGTTTATCATGTCTGGATGATAATGCAGGTTTTTCAGTGGTGAAAGTATGGATTGTCCCAGTCTGAAATATGCAGTGCCATAGGTAGGTGTTGGTTTTAGAGTACGCGTTACTAGGTATCAAGACTTTGTTTAGTAGTATCAGCCATCACAGTCAGATGTTCTTGTAGTGATTGTGAGTAGAAGATCAGCCATAACAATCAGATGTTCTTGTAGTGGTTGTGACAAGATCAGCCATCAAAGTCAGATGTTCTTGAAGTGGTCATGACTAGATGATCAGCCATCACAGTCAGATGTTCTTGTAGTGGTCGTGACAAGATCAGCCATCAAAGTCAGATGTTCTTGTAGTGGTCGTGACAAGAAGATCAGCCATAACAGTCAGATGTTCTTGTAGTGGTCGTGACAAGAAGATCAGCTATCACAGTCAGATGTTCTTGTAGTGGTCGTGACTAGAAGATCAGCCATCAAAGTCAGATGTTCTTGTAAGATCAAGAAGATCAGCCATAACAGTCAGATGTTCTTGTAGTGGTCGTGACAAGAAGATCAGCTATCACAGTCAGATGTTCTTCTAATGGTCGTGACTAGAAGATCCGCCATCAAAGTCAGATGTTCTTGTAGTGGTCGTGACTAGAAGATGAGCCATCACAGTCAGATGTTCTTGTAATGGTCATGAATAGAAGATCAGCCCTCACAGTCAGATGTTCTTGTAGTGGTCGTGACAAGAAGATCAGCTATCACTGTCAGATGTTCTTCTAATGGTCATGACTAGAAGATCAGCCATCACAGTCAGATGTTCTTGTAGTGGTCGTGACAAGAAGATCAGCCATAACAGTCAGATGTTCTTGTAGTGGTCATGACAAGAAGATCAGCTATCACAGTCAGATGTTCTTCTAATGGTCATGACTAGAAGATCAGCCATCACAGTCAGATGTTCTTGTAGTGGTTGTGACAAGAAGATCAGCCATAACAGTCAGATGTTCTTGTAGTGGTCGTGACTAGAAGATGAGCCATCACAGTCAGATGTTCTTCTAATGGTCATGACTAGAAGATCAGCCATCACAGTCAGATGTTCTTGTAGTGGTCGTGACAAGATCAGCCCTCACAGTCAGATGTTCTTGTAGTGGTCGTGACAAGAAGATCAGCCATCGCAGTCAGATGTTCTTGTAGTGGTCGTGACAAGAAGATCAGCCATAACAGTCAGATGTTCTTGTAGTGGTCGAGACAAGAAGATCAGCTATCACAGTCAGATGTTCTTGTAGTGGTCGTGACAAGATCAGCCCTCACAGTCAGATGTTCTTGTAGTGGTCGTGACAAGAAGATCAGCTATCACAGTCAGATGTTCTTGTAGTGGTCGTGACAAGATCAGCCCTCACAGTCAGATGTTCTTGTAGTGGTCGTGACAAGAAGATCAGCTATCACAGTCAGATGTTCTTGTAGTGGTCGTGACTAGAAGATCAGCTATCACAGTCAGATGTTCTTCTAATGGTCATGACTAGAAGATCAGCCATCACAGTCAAATGTTCTTGAAGTGGTCATGAGTAGAAGATCAGCCATCACAGTCAGATGTTCTTCTAATGGTCATGAATAGAAGATCAGCCATCACAGTCAGATGTTCTTGTAGTGGTCGTGACAAGATCAGCCCTCACAGTCAGATGTTCTTGTAGTGGTCGTGACAAGAAGATCAGCCATCGCAGTCAGATGTTCTTGTAGTGGTCGTGACAAGAAGATCAGCCATAACAGTCAGATGTTCTTGTAGTGGTCGAGACAAGAAGATCAGCTATCACAGTCAGATGTTCTTGTAGTGGTCGTGACAAGATCAGCCCTCACAGTCAGATGTTCTTGTAGTGGTCGTGACAAGAAGATCAGCTATCACAGTCAGATGTTCTTGTAGTGGTCCTGACAAGAAGATCAGCTATCACAGTCAGATGTTCTTCTAATGGTCATGACTAGAAGATCAGCCATCACAGTCAAATGTTCTTGAAGTGGTCGTGAGTAGAAGATCAGCCATCACAGTCAGATGTTCTTCTAATGGTCATGAATAGAAGATCAGCCATCACAGTCAGATGTTCTTGTAGTGGTCGTGACAAGAAGATCAGCTATCACAGTCAGATGTTCTTGTAGTGGTCGTGACAAGATCAGCCATAACAGTCAGATGTTCTTGTAGTGGTCGTGACAAGAAGATCAGCCATAACAGTCAGATGTTCTTGTAGTGGTCGTGACAAGAAGATCAGCTATCACAGTCAGATGTTCTTCTAATGGTCATGACTAGAAGATCAGCCCTCACAGTCAGATGTTCTTGAAGTGGTCGTGACAAGAAGATCAGCCATCAAAGTCAGATGTTCTTGTAGTGGTCGTGACAAGAAGATCAGCTATCACAGTCAGATGTTCTTCTAATGGTCATGAATAGAAGATCAGCCATCACAGTCAGATGTTCTTGTAGTGGTCGTGACAAGAAGATCAGCTATCACAGTCAGATGTTCTTGTAGTGGTGGTCAGCCATGACTTGTAGTGGTCGTGACAAGAAGATCAGCCATAACAGTCAGATGTTCTTGTAGTGGTCGTGACAAGAAGATCAGCTATCACAGTCAGATGTTCTTCTAATGGTCATGACTAGAAGATCAGCCCTCACAGTCAGATGTTCTTGAAGTGGTCGTGACTAGAAGATGAGCCATCACAGTCAGATGTTCTTCTAATGGTCATGAATAGAAGATCAGCCATCACAGTCAGATGTTCTTGTAGTGGTCGTGACAAGAAGATCAGCTATCACAGTCAGATGTTCTTGTAGTGGTCGTGACAAGTAGATCAGCCATCACAGTCAGATGTTCTTGTAGTGGTCGTGACAAGATCAGCCCTCACAGTCAGATGTTCTTGTAGTGGTCGTGACAAGAAGATCAGCCCTCACAGTCAGATGTTCTTGTAGTGGTCGTGACAAGAAGATCAACCATCGCAGTCAGATGTTCTTGTAGTGGTCGTGACAAGAAGATCAGCCATCACAGTCAGATGTTCTTGTAGTTGAGATGTGACCATAGAATTTGAAGAATTGTGAAGAATTTTCTCCCAAAATGAAGAAGGGATAAGGCGCTACAGGAATGCATGCTTCCACAAGATTTCAGCATGTTAACCCTTATTCTTTCCATAGACTTCACCAAATACTTAACAGGTATCACCAAAGTGTTAAGTTCTGTGACCTGCATCACCCCAGGCTTTCCTCCCACATCAGCCTGCCACACCATGTTACAGAAGCACTGTTGATCCCAAGTCACTCACTCTTCTTGTACCTGGATTACTGCCATAGCCTCTGTTTGTGGATGCTTCCTGAGGTGTCTGTAGCAAGCAATCAATGTCTGATCTCCAGTGAGTCTCCACTGACGGAGGATTACCCTCACGCCTACAGCAATATTTAGGTCGCTTCCATCCTTGTGGCATCACATAATGGGTCCCATGAACCATTCCGATAAACGCCATATCACCATCCAATAAATATGCAAATAAGGTCAACCGGCAAAAACTGTTTTTAAAAAGTCATGCCTTCTAGCTGGATATATTATTGCTCGACTTTCAGTAAATTTAAACTGAGGCTTCCCAATATGTTATGCTTTTATCAACAAACAAGGCTGTATGTCATTTGCTAGTATGTAATAAACTGGATGGTTGATTTACCTATTGTAACCAAAGACAGTTCCCATAGTAACTTTTTATAGATAGAATATATTTTTAACCTTTGCTTTATTTTGATAGTAATGTAATTTTCCCTTTGTGTTACCTGATGTTCATAACTTATGCCAAGACTATACATATAAGGATCTACACTGGCTTCCAGTGCAGCACAGGATCACTTTCAAGATCCTCTGCTTAACCCACCAGGTGTCTGTCCCATGACCCTCCAGGCTACCTACAGGACCTCCTGCCTGTCTACTCTCCCACTCGATCCCTACGCTCTGAGTTCAAGCTTCTGTGTCGCATTCCCAACATCAAGACTGTGAGATATGGCCAGCGTTCCTTCTCATATGCAGCAACATCCGCGTGGAACAGCCTCCCAGAATCAATCAATCAATCAATCAATCAATCAATCAGAGGATCTCTAAATCTAATGTCTTTCACACGTCAACTCAAGACCTATCTCTTTCAACAGCTCTGAACTCTTTTTATTTGACTGTGCGCTTCGAGCATGCATCAAGCATGGAGTAATGCGTAATACAAGTGGCCTATTATTATTATTATTATTATTATATGTTAGGTTCAACAAAGCTATATTCCTTATACATATTTACATACAAACATAAAACTGTTATGAGGTTAATTTGATTATTTTACCCAACATAGATACACAGTATGAAGTGCTTACCTCCTGAATGTTATGTTGCAATATTGCTAAAAGCAGCACAGTACTATATTCTCACTTGCTCACTCACTCACTCACTCACTCACTCACTCACTCATAGTTAAGTACAAGTTGGTTTCCTTGACTACGTACTAGTACTAGGTGACTGACTACACCGTAAATCCCAGGGAGCATGAGTAGTGACCACCCGTGAGGGAAATATAGGAATAAATATCTTGACCAGATGTCCAGTGTGTATGAATTATACTGTCAATATGAGCCAGACGGTGTATATGTTCCCTGTATACACAGCTGGTCCTGCTAGACTCTGGAAGCTGGCAGTCCTGCTGGAGGTTGGATCTGTTTAACTTGTCTGTCTGCGGATACGAGCCAGCGGATCCAGCTGGTCAGGTAGTTGCTGGACTTTCTATTCTATCAAACACACAAAACACAAACACTGGTCTCACAATCCCCGAACCACATTATTTTCCCTACTGCCTAGCCCTCCCTGCAATGCTAACGCCTAAAATGAAGCAAGTCTAGATTTCCTCACGTTCTGAATCTCTCATCTCTCTGGGGCTCCTTTTCA